CTCCACTTGGGGTATTGCCAAACTAGGAACAAAATTGCACCGGCACTGTACCCTTTTTTGTACCGTTTTTTTTCCTGACAGTGAGCTATACTGTTTATTGCTGACATTATTTGTTTATGCAAATTAGGTTTGTCTAATTACATGTGCATATTTAATACAACCACATCTTTTGATGTTGTAGCCTTAAACATTATTTCACTGTGAAAGATGTGGAAGGGAAATACATTTTTTAAAAGTTTGTTGGAAAATCATTTAATTAATCAAATACTGTGCACTCTTTCAGTATAAAATCTAATGTAATCAAACTATATATTGGTGAATGGGGATGAAACTGTAAGGTTAATACAATTGACAACTATTTTCACCAACATTCAAAAGCATTTGAATGCTTAATAAAAAGCCAAATGCAACATTTAAAGGACAAGCTGAGTTCATCAATAAACAGCATTTTGTGCTGGTATTTACTCAGGAATAGAAGGAGGAAAACATTGCTGTCACATGGAGATGAAAATCATTGAGTAGCACCTGTAAAGGATTAAATCAGCTGAGCTCCCCAAGTAAATCTGATGCCTTTCGAAACACGCTTTAAAATGCAAATACATACCCAGTTAATTAAAAACATTTTGTGTATGGTTATTGAAGACAGTAGTTGTACAAGGGCATGACAATGGCATAACGTGTTCATACTGCATCCATGAAACATCTGCCGTACCCTCAGGACAGTTAACACTGGATTGAGCATCACTTTGAAACTCTGACAAAAACATTTATAAAAATAATATGGGAGTTTATACACTTATCTGCCACTTTAATTGGAACTACATCCTATTGTTTCACTACGTCAGGAATTATGAGTCTATAAACACTGTTGGGGAGATCGCATAGTCTGAAAAACACAAGACCAAACAAGATTTTTTTTATTATTATTTAAATTACACAGCAGTAATTAAGTACTTTCTGAAGAGGTAGGTCTCTACGGTAAATTCATTCCCCCAACTAGGTGCTGGAACAGAGAAATGCCTTGATGCATGCCTTCCTTGTTACACAGTACTGGTGAGACGAGCCAACCTGCTCTCTCAACTCGTTTATCAGCAGCTGTGGTGCGAGTTGGACATCTGTATCGAATTCAGGACTAACCTGCTCGGAAAGTCTGTAGATTTGTCGCTGGGCCTTTTTAAAATTAAAGTGGTCTAAAATGTCTCCGGATTGAGTAACAGTCTGTATGTTGGCAACACTGAACAGTACATTGTGTTTTTATGTCTAAATTAATGTTACGGAACGTAGTGGAGTCAGATGCAGGCACAGATCAAAAGTCTTTATTGATATATTCCAACACAATGCGGTCTTCACATGAACACAGGAAACATAGCATGAAGCTCAAACATAATACGGCACGACCGCTACTAACGTGTCAACGTATTTCAACCACTCTGACAGGAACAGAAACATAGACAACTACTAACTCAGACAGTCCTGGGCCCCTGTCCGAAATGTCCTTCGCTGCCATGGGAGGAGAGGCAGCCTCCATCAGGCAGTGGCTGTGCATGGCAACCCCCCCAAAAGGGTCTGGAGCGAAGAGCACCGCCCCTGGTGGCTCTGAAACGCAGGACTCTGAAACCACCCCCGGCAGCACTGGAACGCTGGGCAGTTACCTCGGCGGCACAGGACTGCGGGACGACATCCTCGGCGGCGCAGAACTGCAGGGCTTCCTCTGCAGAGACCTCCCCGTGGGCCTAAGGCTGGATCTCCGCTGTCGATCCTCATGTAACTGCACATTTTCAGCCTCCAGACTCTTGACCTTGCGTTCATTCTCTCGGGTGCTGCTCCGTGCCGCATCTCCCGCCGCTCGGAGTTCATCCGCATCCCGCAACTGATCCTTTAACTGAGTCTGTACTTTCTTCAGCTGTCTCCGTGCTTCATCTCGAGCTTTAATGGTCTGGTTGAGTTGAGCCTCCTGCTCAGACAGGTCAAGCTCCAGCTTCTTCTTTGCTGCTACAGCCAGAGCTTTCTGCTTGCTCTCATCCTCCAACTCTGCTCCCATCTCATGCACCTGTTCCAATTTCCTCCTCAACTCTGATATCTGTGTCCGAAAGGAGTGAAGCTGTTTCTCCACTCTTCCTTCACTCTTCTTCCTCCTCCAGAAGCTCCTTTAGTCGATTCTGTTCGTCCTCTAGTTGACAAAGCCGTGTGCTCAGAGCCAGTTTCTGGCGTGTCTCCTCTTGCAGCCAACCCTGTGTTTCCTGTAATGGTGACTCCACAGATGAGCATTCCTTAGTAGCTTTGACGTATTTCTTCTCCACTTCAGACAGAGTGCTGCTCAAACTCTCCAACTCCATTTTGCTCATTTTTTCCACCATTTCCTTCCTCTGCTTCTCGCTCTCGCTGTGTTTCAGTTGAGGCTCCTGCAGCTGAGCCTCGCCTTTCTCCCTGCGAGATTCAGAATCTTCCTTACTCTGAGTGACTCTGACTGGAGCGTGAGGCTTGGCTGTGATTGCAGGTTGATTTTTGGCTTTGGTTGGGGCTTGGTCATCAGCTGCGGCTGGGGCCTGGACTGGAGGTGTGACTGGGGCTTGGGACTTGTCTTGGACGTAGCTTGATAGGGCTGTAGGACAGCTCTCCTCTCTCTTTGGTGGCGGGACTGGTATAGAGGGCGCGGGGGGGGGGTGCCATGGAACGTAGCATGGACCGCAGCTGTTTCTGGTCAGCCATCATGCGTTCGAGCCGAGCCAGTTCCTCATCGAGCTGTTTGCTGCTTCCCAGGATGGTGGCGTGCCGCATGGACCGGCTCGTTGCAGCTGTGTTAGTTGCGCGACCTGAAGATGGAACCGCGCCAGCGCTTCCTCCAGTGCCCTCTGCCTCTCCTCGAAGATCCGGTTCAACTCCGTGTACAGTATGTCCCCCATGATCTGCTGTGTCCATATAAGGGCTCGCGATTCTGCAGGCGCAGATCAAAAGTCTTTATTGATATATTTCAACACAATGTGGTTTTCACATGAACACAGGAAACATAGCATGAAGCTCAAACATAATACGGCACGACCGCTACTAACGTGTCAACGTATTTCAACCACTCTGACAGGAACAGAAACACAGACAACTACTAATCGTGAGCAACGTGCTCGGTAACTCAGACACTTAAATAACAACGGTAATCAAACAGAAAGCAAACACACCTGTGTTTAGTTATTGTGAACGCTCACGCTAACCCGGAAGTGCGCGTTCCCAAACAGTCATTTCAAATGAAGTGCCGCAGCGACCTCTGGCGGCTGCGACGTGACAATTATGTTTAATAATAATGTTTACACAAACTGTTTATATGTTCAGTTTATATGTTCTACAAAGATAAAAAAAAAAATTATTATTTAATTTAATTTTTGTCTAGAGTTCAGTCAGCACAGCAGCATCTCCAAGCCCTCTGTGCACAGTATTCTGATATGGCTAACAGGAATGTTGCCCACTTCATGGAAGGACACGGAGAAGAACCTGGAATGATGGAAATACCTGTCCAGGAGCCACGTGCTGCACTGCCAGAGCCCGGTGTTCCCCAGAAAGGTGCACTCGAAACAATTTCACCAATACACTGAGTGTGTTTATATAAAATATCTTAACTGCATTTACACCACAGTGCTGTTGAATTCTTGATTCTAGTCAGAAGGTGTTGATTAATTTTCTGTAACAGCAGTATGTTCTCCCTGTGCTTCCAGGGTTCCTCCAGGTACTCTGGTTTCCTCCCCCAGTCCAAAGACGTACATTGTAGGCTGATTCGCATTTCCAAATTATCCATAGTGTGTGAATGTGTGCAACTACACACTGCTATGGGTTGGCACCCCATCCAGTGTGTCCCCCGCCTTGTACTCAGAGTGCCCTGGGATAGGCTTCAGACTCCCCGCGACCCTGTGTAGTAGGGGAGTATGCAAGTATGGAAAATGGATGGATGGATTTTTACTGGTCTATAGGGTGGCATGGGGCTGCAGCAGGTAGCATTACAAGCTTCCTCGGTTCAATCATAGACACTCACATCGCTTTACATAGTATGCAGCGGAGGGAATCTCCTCAACCACCACCAGTGTGTAGCATCCACCTGGATGATGGAATACAACCAATATTAAAAAAGAGCAAAGAATCATATAACTATCATATAAAACCCAGTAAATCTTGAGATTATCACTTGTCACCATACAGCAAAATATAGCTATAAATATGAGAACATGTTTAAAACTAAATTGAACGATCTTTTTTTTTTTTTAATTTCATTCATTTCAGTAACTTTTTTATTAAGCGTTTACTTTTGCTTTACTTTCATTAAATAGGATTATTTTTTTTATTGTATGCTCATTTTGTAAATGTTAGCAATTACTGTAGATGTGAGCAAAAGTGGATGTTTCCTGCAACTGTCATTTCTCACATTTAGTAAATCCGGTGATCTCATTATGTATAGAGACAAAAGAAAGATATTACAGAATGATCACTCTGAATGGCCACGCATACATGTACATGTCTCTATGTGTAAAAAGAATGAGGTTTAATCACCTTGCAGAAGTGGTTCCTAAATTTGACACCAATGAAGTGGGTTGAGGCATAAGTGCAGGAAGTCCAGGCTTTCAGTGAGATCACAGCACTTTGCTATGTCCTGTCTGCGCTGTGTATGTCATGCATGTATGTTGCACCATGGGTCCAAAAGAAATGTTATTTCTTCTCAGTGTGTATTGCACATTGTATATGGAAATCTTTCATCATTTCAAGACAGGTCTACTGCAACTAGCTCTTGGAAGGTTTGCCTCTGTGCACCATTAGACCTTTGCAACTGATCCAGAATGCAGATGTACAATTTGTTTTCAACCTTCCCAATTTCTCCCACAATACCCTATTGCTACAATCCCTCCACTGGCTTCCTGTGGTTACCTGCATCAGATTTTAAAATGCTGATTTTTAAAGAGATTAAGTACACTAGAGGGAAGCAATGAGAGTGTAATGTAATTAATGAGCTGTACAAATAGTCTCGGCCAACTTGGGGATTGAACCCATGATCGTGATATTAAGAGTTTTATGCTCTGCTGACTGAGCTAGCCAGGTTGTTAGACATCATGTACACTAGAGGGAAACAGTGAGAGTGTAGTGTAATTAGGATGTACACTAAATGGCAGCAGTAAGCGTGTAATGTAGACATATTGTAGGTTTGAGGGGATTGAACCCATGACCCAATGACCATAAGATTAAGAGTTTTATGCTCTACAGACTGAACTAGTCCGGTTCTTAGACATTAAGTACATTAGAGGGAAGCAGTGATAGTGTAATATAATTAGGCTGTACACTAGACAGTAGCAATTAGAGTTTAATATAATTACTGAGGTGTACAAAAAAATCCCATCCAACATGGGGATTCAACCCATGACTCAATGAGCCTGAAATTTAGAGTTTTATGCTCTACTGACTGAGCTAGCCAGGTTGTTAGACATCATGTACACTAGAGGGAAACAGTGAGAGTGTAGTGTAATTAGGATGTACACTAAATGGCAGCAGTAAGCGTGTAATGTAGACATATTGTAGGTTCGAGGGGATTGAACCCATGACCCAATGACCATAAGATTAAGAATTTTATGCTCTACAGACTGAACTAGTCCGGTTCTTAGACATTAAGTACATTAGAGGGAAGCAGTGATAGTGTAATATAATTAGGCTGTACACTAGACAGCAGCAATTAGAGTTTAATATAATTACTGAGGTGTACAAAAAAATCCCATCCAACATGGGGATTCAACCCATGACTCAATGAGCCTGAAATTTAGAGTTTTATGCTCTACTGACTGAGCTAGCCAGGTTGTTAAAAATTAAGTACACTAGAAGGCAGTCAGAGTGTAATGTAATTAGATTGTACACTAGAGGGCAGCAGTGAGAATGTAATAGAATTAGGTTGTAAACTAGAGGGCAGCAGTGAGCATGTAATGTAGTTAGGTTGTACACTAGAGGGCAGCAGAGAGAGTGTAACGTAATTATATTGTACACTAGACGGCAGCAATAAGAGTGTAATGTAATTACTGAGGTGTACAAATGAACTCCAATGTTGACGCGTTTTGCATTCTGAGATGTTTTTCTGCTCACCACAACTGTACAGAGTGGTTATCTGAGTTAATTTCTGAGCCTTTCTGTCAGTTTGAAACAGTCTGGCCATTCTCCATTGACCTCGGTCATTGACAAGGCGTTTCCATCCTCAGAACTGTCACTAACTGGTTGTTTTTCTGTATTGCACCATTCTGAGTAAACTCTAGAGACTGTTGTACATGAAAATCCCAGGAGATCAGCTGTTAAAGAAATACTCAAACCAGCCTGTCTACCACCAACAATCACACTTCAACACGTGTTACAGATATAGCTAGAGAACTAGTGGGTAGACCCAAGTCATGAAAAAACTGGGAAGTGGGCCTAAGCAGGGAAATATTTGAATAAGTCTGTTATATATGTTCGGTTTCATGTAGATAATGCATGAACATTATATGTTATTACTTGAATAGCTGTTCATCCAGGCAAATTATGAAGTAAACTCAATCTTAGCTTGTGTGTGTGAGTGGATCTGTCCTGTTTTCTGTTGTTTAGATTGGGGGCTGTTTTAATATGGTTTTGAACTGGTTTCAGCACTGCTCACTTGGGGTGTGTATGGAGAGTTCAACCCCCTAGTTCGGGCAGTGTTCATAATGGTTGGCTCTGTGGTTGATTGGGCTCCAAGATTAAACGCGACGAAGTCATGCACATAGATAGCACCGTTTCATCTCACTTTTCACGAGTGTTTGGTGTTCAGTGTTTACCATACATGACAGAAAGCACATAATCAAATGTGAATCAACCAACTTAGTAATCGACCATTGATTGACCAAAACTAAGTGAATCAGTCTGGAGCTTGTGTTCACACAACCGTATCTTTAAACAACGCAAACGTTTGCTCAAAACGTTAATATGCTACGATTTAACTTAGTTACTTTCAAAAGTGTTCAGCTATTGTTACACAGGCATAGTTACTTTCAAAACAGTTCAGCCAGGGGACTTCCGGCTGAGTGACAAATGGAGTAGGTCGCAACTTTCGGGGCTCCTGCAACAACTATTTATATTATATGATAGCCACTGTTTTTGGTAGCATTTGTGTTTGTAAGTCTTGTTTAACACCGTAAACTTCTAGTTTAATGTCTAAAATGCCGGCAAAATCCAAAAGCGCGAATGCTTTGGCAGCTACACCTCTGCGGCCTGCTCCACACGCTGCATCCCCGCCGCGTAGGGACCCCTCTATGCCCGCTATCCCCCCCGGTTTCAAGGATGAGATCCTCGCTGCGCTCCGCCATGAAATGGCGGACATTTTTAAATCTGAGCTCCAGGTGGCCTTGGGTGAAAACTTAACATCGATTAAGGGAGAGCTACAGACCGTAAAGGCGGAATTATCGGCCAGTATTGCGGTTGTCCAGTCGGAGGTGAGCACTTTGAAGCATACAGTGGGGGAAATGGAAACTTCGCTCTCTACCTGTTGCGATGACATCGCTACGCTACAGGCTAAAGTGGAGCACCTATCTGCCGAGCTGGGGAGGGTGGAAAACAAGTGTGAGGACCTCGAGGCTAGATCACGGCGCAACAATGTGAGGATCGTAGGTGTCCCCGAAGACTCGACCTGCGCGTCTACACCGGCAGCCGTTTCCACTCTGCTTAAGGAGGTTTTTGGGCTAGACAAAGAGCCACTTTTGGACCGCGTTCATCGCACTCTGCAGCCGAGGCCCAAACCCCGTGAACGCCCCCGGCCTATAATCGTCCGACTCCAGTACCACGCGGACTGTGTGGACATCCTCCGCGTTACACACGACGGAATCGAGAGGGAGTTTAAATCCGCGGAGGACGCCGGGGTGTTTATTAAGACACTGATCAAGTGAGAACACTGATAATCCGTCTCCGGAAGTGAAATGGACCACTACTGACTCTACAACACATGAGGGAGTATTGACTGTTTATGTGCCTTGACATTTATCTTTGTTTAGTTTGCAAGGGCCCGGCCTGGGGGGTTTATTACTATCGGGTCAACAGCTGTTAGCTTTCCTGTTGGGGATTTGACTCCTTGTGGAGTCTGCACTGGGGTCTCCATCGTTTGGGGATGGGGACGTGTAAGTGCAATGGGGAGGGGGGTGGGATGGGGTGCTTCACTGTGTGTTTGGAGTGTGTTTTCTTTTGTTTTGGTTTATCATTTACTTTTATTGTATTTATTTTTTCTTTTCACTTTTTACTTTTTCTCATTTTATCTTTGTTTTTGTCCTTTTTCTCCCCCTCCTGTTTCCTGTCCCCTTTTCCTTCTCTCAGAGGTAAGGCTTCACTTTCATTCTCTTCCTGCCATAAACACTTGATAGATGTCCACTAATACTGGAAAATCTGGCTCGCATGTGAACTTTGTGAGCTGGAACATTAAAGGTATGGGGAGTCCTATGAAGAGATCCAGAGTATTTGCCCATCTGAAACGGCTCAACGCGGACATAGTGTTTCTACAAGAAACTCATATGCGCACCACAGACCAGGTACGGTTTAAATGCCCCTGGATTTCTGAGGTATTTCACGCCAATTTCAATTCTAAGGCCAGGGGGGTTGCCATTTTAATTGGTAGATCAATTCACTTTTCATCCTCCAATGTAATATCAGATGAAAATGGGAGATACTTAATAATAACAGGAAAATTGTTGCATGTCCCGGTATTAATGGTTAATGTTTACGCCCCAAATTTTGATGACCCACACTTCAGGAATAAGCTCTTGGAGCGCCTCCCTTCACTACATAATACCGTCCTTATATTTGGAGGAGACATGAATTGTGTTATTGATCCTAGGTTGGACCGTTCTTCTTCCAAGACCTTGACACCCTCACTAATGTCGAGTACACTTTCTGATTTCATGTCTAAGAATGGTTGTGTGGATCCCTGGAGATTCCATAATCCCAGTATCAAGGAATATTCTTTCTTTTCGCAGGTGCATAAGTCCTTCTATAGAATTGATTATTTCTTTATTGACGCCAAACTTATCTCCAAAGTGTTGATGGTTAAATATCACCCTATTGTGATTTCTGACCATGCCCCGCTTTCTCTGGATATTCAGCTTTCTCCCCAACCTCGATATTCAACACCGTGGAGGTTTAACACTCTACTCCTGTCAGACAACAAATTTAACACACTCATTGCAACTACAATTGACGATTTTATTGAAATCAATCAGAACGAGCTTGAACCTATTTCCTGTTCCCTGCTGCGGGAATCACTAAAAGCATACTTGCGGGGCCAAATAATTTCCTACTCTGCACATCTGAACAACACTCGTTTGGCCAAACTTCATGAGCTATCGCGTAGAATTGACGAACTAGATAGGCAATTGGGCACTGCTCCCTCTTCTGCTTTACTTAAAGATCGGGTTGTATTGCAGGCTGAATTTGACCTTATTACATCGGTGGATGCAGAGCGCCTTCTGCTACATTCACGCTCCACATATTATGAACATGGTGACAAACCGAGCCGACTCTTGGCCCATCAATTGAGACGTCAAGCTGCCTCACGAATAATTCCTCAAATAAAGGATTCATCTGGCATACTCCACACGGACCCCAATACCATTAATTCAGTCTTCCGCTCATTCTATTCTTCTCTGTATATGTCTGACTTTCCAGCTGGGACTTCTGATATGAATGCTTTCTTAGACAGTCTCAATTTCCCTACCATTAACCCAGAAGTTGCTAAAGATCTTGACTCTCCATTAACCTTAGAGGAAATCAACCTAGCCGTGAATAGCATGCAAAACAATAAAGCTCCTGGCCCAGATGGATTCCCGGTAGAATTTTTCAAAAGATTTGAATCTAAACTGTCTCCTATATTGCACTCGGTATATAGGGAATCGCTGCAGAGTGGCGCTCTCCCTCCTACTTTGCGACAAGCCTCTATAAATCTACTTTTAAAGAAGGACAAAGATCCGAATCTCTGCAGCTCTTACAGACCCCTCTCTTTGATAAATGTGGATGCTAAGATTCTTGCTAAGGCTTTGGCTAGTCGCTTGGAAAAAATTCTTCCAGTCATAGTTTCAGAAGAACAAACTGGATTTATAAAAGGGCGTCAGTTATTTTACATGTCCGCACCCTTTTGAACATTATCTACTCCAAATGCTCTACTACTTCCCCCGAAGTGGTAATCTCAGTCGATGCTGAAAAAGCGTTCGACAGAGTTGAATGGGACTACCTGCTTACAGTATTGCACAAATTTGGATTGGGTGACACATTTATTTCTTGGATACGCCTTCTGTACACATCCCCACAAGCTAGTATCTCCACTAATGGTATCCAGTCAACTTATTTTACTTTATCCCGTGGCACTCGACAGGGTTGTCCGTTGTCTCCTTTACTGTTTGCGTTAGCTATAGAGCCCTTGTCAATTTATCTGAGGTCCTCCTCCTCTTTCACTGGGATATCTCGGTTGGGCATGGAATTTAAACTTTCTCTTTATGCGGATGATTTATTACTGTATGTTTCCAACCCATGTCACTCTCTACCTGGAGTTCTGTCCTTTCTCCAAAGATTTGGCTTGTTTTCAGGTTATAAAGTTAACGTTTCCAAGAGTGAGTGCTACCCGGTTAATACTTTGGCATTACAAATGACTCAATCTGATATTCCCTTCAGAATGAGCCCCTCTGGCTTTAGGTATTTAGGAATTAACATAACCAGGTCTCTGACTTCACTTTACTCTGCTAACTTCTCCCCATTGATGTCTGAAATCAAAACTGACTTTCAACGATGGAGGTCTTTACCTCTGTCACTAATAGGAAGGATT